AAAGTGATCGTTTTTAACACGATCACAAACATTTTTGATCGTTTTCTATTTTTTTTCTTTTCTTTTCTATAAATACCCTCTCACTCTCAATTTTTTTCATTCTTCTCATAACTCAATCTCTCATTCTCTCTCAATCTCTTAAACTCTTAAGTCCGAATTCTCATTACTATCCTATAATATTTTTTATACTCCAAATACTTCTTAAAATTTTACATTTCTATTGTTTTATATTATAAAAAATGGCAAGTTCAAGTTCACATATGCCATCACAACAAAATAATACCGCTAGTCAAAATCAGCAGGGGAGCAACAACAACAATCAAATTTTACACTTAGATCATCCGACATCTTCAAAATTTATTTCTCAAAAGTTCCGTTAGAAAAAGGCTTTTTTACCGTGATTTGCAACTACTACAACAAGCAATACACATTCAAACAAGGAGGTGGTTATGGAACATTCAAAACCCACTTGGAGAAAAAGCATCCATCCGTACTTGGTAATGATAGACATCGGACACAAATATTCGAGTTTGCTTCTCAATTTTCCTCTTTATTTCAATATACTCGATAAAAAAATAAATAAAAAAGAAATGGCTAAAATGATATGTGTTGATCATTCATCTTTTAGTTTTGGTCAAAAAATGGGTTTTAGTGATTATTGTTCTAACGCTTTGAATCCTTCTTTCAAATAAGTTGAAAGACATTCTTCAAAAAAGAAAACAGTTATAAAATTATATAGAGATAAAAAAAAATTAACTGTATTATTTGCAAATTTGAATGGTCGTATTTCTATATGTTCCGATATATGGTCCGATCAATGACAAACTCACTCTTTTATGGGTGTAACTTGTCATTGGATTGATAATGAATGGCATATACAAAAACGTCTTCTTGCATATAGAGTTTTTGATGATAAACATACTACTCAAAATATATATAAAATACTAAAAAGGATTTTAGATGAATATGTTTTACCTTTAAGAATATTTTCAATTTCTTTTGATAATGCTAGTTCTAATGATGCTTCAATAGAGTCTTTAAGAAAACTTTGTCAACCCCATCTTGGAGGTAAGTTTTTCCATATTAGATGCGTATGTCATGTTTTAAATTTATGTGTATAATCTGGTTTGGAATATCTTAAAGATATTGTTAGGCCAATTAAAGCTTTTGCTAAATATTTATGGACGCATCCTCAAAAGATGAAATCATGGGGAAAGTTTTGCAATGAAAGAAACAAAAAACCAAGACGATTTTCAAAAGATGTTTCAACTCGTTGGAATTCAACTTATGACTTACTTAGGCGAGTCATTTGAGTATCGAGATTTATTATGCTCATTTTTTTCAAAAAATATTGATTATGTTTTTATTTATCAAAATGATTTTGATATTTGTGAACCACTTTTGGAACTTTTAAGTGTTTTTAACAATGCAACATACACTTTTAGTGTCGTTTATCAACCAACTTCACATTTATTTATGATTGAAGCAATTAATATTGTTAAAGCTTTTAATTATGTAGAATAAGATATGCCAACTTTACATGTCATTGTTCAAATAATGAAACAAAAATAGTTAAGTTATTATGAAACAATTTCACCTATTTATCTTGTTGCTTTAGTCTTTGATCCTAGATTTAAAATGGAAGGTCTTTCTCGCTGTTTTGAATACTTCCTATGAGTATTTCCAATTATTTGATAAAAATGTAGAAATAGAAGTTGCTTCTATTATAAAATACGTTAGAGATTTATATATTGAAATGTCTTTAATTGTGGGTGATCAACATGCTAGTTCCTCTTTACCACATGTGTCACAATCATCACAAGCGACCAACGTGTTAGAGCCGGTTATCTTATGGCCATGGAAAGACAGAAAGGCTAAGAGGATCATCGGGCTCCACTTCCGAGCTTGATATTTATCTAACAACTCGTGTTTGAGTTTGGTGATAGCAATGCAGGTGTAGATTTTGAAGTAATTGATTGGTGGAAAAGACATGTAGGTACCTTTCTAGTCCCGTCCATAATAGCTAGACAAATACTTGCTGTGCCGGCTTCAACAACGATCGTTGAAAGAGCATTTAGCTCCGGAGGTAATATTTTGGATGATAGGCGATCACAATTGGCTCCCGAGTCACTTGAAGCCCAAATATGCGTGGATGATTGGATAAGAGCCGACAAGAGAACACAAGAACAAAAACAATATGATTTCAATGAAGAAAGTATGGATCTAACACTCGACGGCACAACAACGAAACTTCGAAGCCGAAACTTCCGATCAAGAAAGTAACTAGGCGCAACTATATAGAACATAGCTGTAATTTGTAAATGGGTAATTTGAAATGTAAAAGAGAACTACGTAAGCTTTGATTCCTCTAAACCCCACGAGGATACTTAGGAAGCTTAATTTTTGTAGTGTTTACAAAAATTAAGTTCAAGCCCTTTTTTATTTATTTCTTTTTTTTCCTTTGATTTATTGTGTGAAATACATTATAATGTAAAAAATATTATAATATTTATACATTATGCAAAAAAGAAGTTTTTTCATTTCAATGTTAATGTTGAGAAAAAATGTTCAATTTTTTTTATTTTTTCATTTAATAAAAAAACCGTTGAACCATCGGTTTCAAACGGTTTGGAACCATTGGTTTTAAGATTTCAAACCGAAACTGGAACCGTCTATAGAAGGTTTGGTTAAGGTTTCACCTTTTGGTGAAACCTTAACCGACGGTTCCTAAATCGAAACCGGCGGTTCGAGAACCGTTACCATGACTAACTCCAACTACTTAAAAAACCAAATTCGAAAAAAAAAAACAAAGCAAAACCAACCTTGTTTGTTTCTCCTCTTTGTTTTTGGGTATATTTTAATTTTGTTCTCCTACAGTTTATGTGTTTTCTCAATTTAACTTAAAACATTTGATTTTTTTTCAATCATATCCTTTATCGGTATTTTTTTCTACTATGTGTACCTTTCAATATCATATGTAAATTTTATGTAATATCTCAATATAATCCAAAATATAAAAATGAAAAGATTGAAATTGAAAAAATATTAAAGAACTACATTTTTTCTTCAATGAAGCAAATACAACAAAAAAAAATCATTTTTTATCAACGCTATCGAACGAGTCTTTCGACAATATTAGAATAAAATTCAGTTAAAATCAAATATAAAAAAATAGTAAAAAAGTATCACTATCATTGCCTCTCAACACTTTGCCATTAGCTATCACATCTTTTTTTTTTTTAATCCAATTTTTCATTAAACACTTGAAGAAAAATTTTGAAAAAAAAATAACAATTGAAATACCATATGAATGGAATGAGAGGTTGTGTACAAAATAATTTAGACAATACCTAAAGAGATAATTTTCACATATCAAAATGTTATTTAATGACAACATCAAAGAAAAAAAATAAGACATGATAGTTGAGAGGGATCATAATGGTGAAGGTTTTGATGATATTGAGATAAATAAACTTTATGAATGAAATTAAAAGTTATGTATCCGACAAAAATTGAGAGAGGGGAAATTGTTTTTTAAAAAATGAAAGATACGAGAGGCTAATGGAAACAAAAATGAAAAATTGAAATTGAGACAATACATAAACTCGAAATTTAACTTCGTTTTTCAATTGTTAAAAATTTTCATAATTAAACAAAATAATTTTTAAAAATTATATTAGTTGGTTATTGGTTATGCTTTTAGTTTTCAATTTTGGTTTTCAAAAATTTGAAAACGAAAAAAGTTATGTTGGAGAGTCTCAATAAAAATAAATTAAAAAAGTATAAGGTCTAAACGTGAGGAAAATTCATTAATTTTTAAAACAAAAAGGACTAATTAATTTGTTTCTCAAATCAAAAGGGACTAATTTGTAATTTACTCCTAAAACCAGACTCTTTTTACTGTGGGTTGAAGAGTTAGAGTGGAGGCAGAAGCAATCCTAGCCCGAAGTTAGCTAAGAAAATCTTCGTCCCATTCTGCTTTGTCTCTGCTTGACAGTTTCCAAGACAAAACGTGCTTCCCCTCTGTTCTGTTGAACCAAAAGAATTGGCTAAATAGCCTGCATCTCGGACAAGAATACAGCTAAACAAGGTCAATAGAAAAACCACCTTGCTCCTCCTGAACTGCGATTTCAGTAGTATCTCCAGTTAGCTACACACCTGTGATTATCATTTCCATCAAATATCTGACAATACAAGTGTTTCGTTGCTTTCTAGAGACTCAAACGAAGCTACAAATCACAAAAGGCAAGCATTGAGAACATGGAACCAGAGACAAGATGCGGTGAGAGGATGTTGAACATTTCCACTCGAGATCAAATACCCACAATCAAGAGCGTATTTTAGGCAGTCAAAATCTATAAGTCTATTGTCATCCGGGAACATGTGGAATGTTAAGATTAGTGCTAGTGCGCTATAGTGATCTTTGTCGGCACTGATGAAGAACACACAAAACATTGCCTTCATCTTTGCTTTTACGAATGCAATTTAACAAGAATGGCATAAATAATAAGAGAATATATATAACGTTAAGAGTAACGAAAATGGCCGAATCTGTTACATAGTATTCGTTACGAGTAACAGTAGTTATTTAAAACTGTGAATTTCTAGTTCAGTCAATTTGAACAGCAATTTACAATTTATTTGTCCTACATAAAAAGGTAGAATTTACAAATCCCATCGGCACAACAAATGCCATTTGGTCCCAAACAAATCTTGAGAGAATTTATATACGGTTGTCCAATTGATCGTCAGAAATGTGCCGTGACCATCACAAGATATGCTATATGCATAGCAATGAAGAGTACTTTGAGATATGAAAATTAAGGCACAATTTTATAGCTTACTATTTACAAATCATGCTATGCAATAAGCCAGTATTTTCTTTCTTCTTCTTCTTCTTCTTCTTCTTGTTTTTTTTTTTTTTTTTTTTTTTTTTGGGAGGTAGTTAAAGAGACATGACAACAGGCATCAACTTTTATGAGTGAGAAAAATTGAAGGAGTTAAAGCAAGAAATCCATCAACTTTGTCAATGGAAATGGGTATTTAACTGCCATATTTGCCTCTGAGCAAGACCAATTAACTGCGTTTGTAGGCTTTGAGCACAAAAAGAAATTTCTAGACCCCAAGTTTATCAACTTTTCATCTGGCTTCAAACCTGCACCACCGTACCAAAATTTTCACATTATAACAACAACAAGAAATTGAAACAACCAACTTCACAAAAGGTTGCAACTAGAGGATTTTTCTTCTTGGGCCTCAAAAATTGCACCAGTATTTTAGCACTTATATTTGAAAGCTTAATTCAAATGTCTATAAGCTTATCAGAGTATTTGGACCACTTTTAGACTCATGATTCCTGAATAATTTTTATGTCTGAGAGGAGTATACTTCAAATATATCTAATATCGTTTTAAAACGACAAATTCTGAGGCATATCTATTTGATCAAGGTGGGTAAATCATAGATAGACAATATTGAACATGATTGTGAATTGAAAATTATATATATATATATTAGGAGTTATACTTAAGTTCTCTTAAAAAAAAAAAAAAAAACCATGATATTCATGGTCTCTTATGAATGTTTGTCCTTCTTATAATTAATATAATTGAGTGGATTTCGGGCCAAGTAATCATAAAAAGCAAAACTTAACAACAACGAGATAACAAATCACAAAGAATTCATTGACTTCCATGAAAATTCAAAAACAAAAAACTTGGCAGTGCTCTTCATTATAATATGAAACTATAAAGCGTGTGTGTCTATATAAGTATAATCGATAACTTACTTTCGAGGCTAAACTGTGAGTAATGAAGCTCAAAAAAATCAGGGTCATTCTGCTTTAAAAGCGGCCTTCTCTTATCCTTCACATAAATCTCCATCGCTACCTTCACCAAATCCTTCACTGTATTCTCTGCTGACATAATAACGTGAACAGGCCCTAAACTCCTTTCTATATTCACATTCAGCAGCAACTTTGTCTGTACTTTCTTTGACGATGACCCATCATTCTCCTTTGCCGAGATAAGCTTTCCGGGAACAGATATCAACCCTCCTCCCCGTCGTACAAGGTCCGAGTATCTCTCCGGGGGAAGGTCTCCAAAGACCTGTCGGAAGTGGATCGACGATGCCTGCTGTCAACGACATGACGAAAAGTGAATGGAGAACGAGAAGTCATTGTTGGGGGGTGTGTGTGTGTTTTTTTTTCCCCTGTAAAGAAGGTTAGTAGAAGAAAGAAGTTTGTTATGGTTAGGGTTTTAGAAGGTAATGAGGTTTTGATGCCTTCCAGAGACAGAGGTTGAGAATGGTATTGCAGAGAGCTTTTCAGTTACGTCAACAATGTTTGGATTTTGAGACCGTTAAAGGAAAGGCGGAAACTTCCTGGAAAGTGTTACATATGGGATTACCCTTGGAGTTTTGGATAATAACATATATAGTGAGTTTTATGTTCTAGATGTCACTTCTACGTCTTTCCTAGTTGTCTTGTGACTTTGGTAAGAGAACAGTTTGCATTTGCTAATGTGGAGATAGGTGATGATATACATGTACTGCCTGTAATTGACTTTTTTTTTCTTGGGTTAAGTATAAGCACGCAATCGATTAATTACAGTAGATGAATTCTATAAGTTCATGTGTATTGTGTATCACACAAATTGTGCAACCGTTGGCAATAAAGAAAGTCGGTGTATCAACTAGAAAGTGGTAGTATATTAGTAATCAAGTCGATTTACGGGTCCAAGATTCGATTTTTATAATCAAGTACTCTTGAGAATTTTTCTTTAATATCCGAATCCGTACATTTGAGAATTCCTCTTAGCCACATCCAAAAAGGAATTAGTCTTGAAGTATATGAAAACTAATTCATGAACACCATTACAAAAAAAAAAAAAAAAAAAAAAAAAAAGTATTATATATGATCTAATCTTTTTTTTTTTTTTGAATTCTCAAAGTATCATAAATCCAAATACTCAAACTAATTCATCGCTCGCTCAATTGGGCGCACAAGGCGGATACAACTACCTATTGAGTTTTCTATATACACAAAGACTCGAATCCGAGACTCTTTGCTTAAGCGACTAAATCCTAGAATGCTAGTTCTAATTTTTCTCGCTATGTAAATTTTTCTTGGAAGAAATCACTTAAGGAAGATGACGTAAAAATTCTCTAAAGAACGATGGCACAATTTCTTTCTATTGTTCAAATTCTCTCGTGTGTGTGTGTGTATAGACAAATCTTCTACGTCATCTTTCCAATTAAGGAGTTGTAACTTATGTAGTTTTATTTAATTTTATCCTTTTAATAAAATTTTGTCTTAAGTTCTCAAAATATCCCTCCACTTAAAATACCCCTTGCAAGCTTTCACTTAAAATTATTTACCCAAACTCATTTGACCCAATAACTCAATAATTAATTTGGACCATCCAAATAAGTTAGGTTAGGTATTTTTAGGAAGGTCCATATTAGAAAATAATTTTCTAAGTTACCCTTGCAATTTATTAAACTTAAATTAAGAAACTAATTTCTAAAATAAAAAACTGATTTTTATTTTAGGAAACTAATTTAGAAGTTAGTATTTTCAATTTAGGTAACTAACTTCTAAATTAGGAAACTAATTTTTAAAATAAAAAACTGATTTTCAAAATGGTAAACTTTTTTCAAATTCTTCGCTTCTCTTTTTTTGTGTAAATGTTTAAACTTATGTGTGTGACTCAATAAGCTCCTAGATATGTTGATAATATATCAAGAAGTAACAGTACAATGTTTTTTTTTTCTCTAGATATATAATTCAAGATTGGCCTCTAATAAGGCATTATAACTACTCAATTATCTAAAAGGATTACTTAATCCATAATAATCTTTTATGAATATAGTTTTTATATAATTCAATCATTATGTCAATTATCACGAGTGTGATCTTGAACTTGGTTTGTTATTTGTTCGATTATGATCACACAAGTTTTCTTCGATCTCGGAATGTCTTAACTCTCAAGTAAACCAATCATGCTTTGTTAGCATACTTCCATTATGGCCATAGATTTTTGCATAGACATTCATCGAAGTACAATGTGATAACTCCTTTAGCATATAAGGAATGACATATCCTCTCTTAGTGATCCACCTATCTCTATTAGATTCTTGATACACCCAACAACATGCAACTCTTTACTTAGCCCATTGAAATGAATGTCAAAATACATCAATCTTCAAATGAGATAATCGTTATGACTTTAAGTCAAAGGACTATTTGTATCCATCTCGTACGAGATTTTGATAGATTATACAAGTGGGTTCTCATGGCGAATCATGTTCGGTTATATGTTCTCTAATATCATTCACCTATGTGTTTGCTTTGGCATCACCATCTCGGTAGGTATGAGATCTCTTATTATTATCTTATAGTAAGAGTATAACACTCATAAGTTTTATCGCATATTATTAATGTTCAATCTTAACAATACTATGACTTGGAATATTTAATGATATCTTTTATATGCATTGAAGTTTGTATCACATCTATCAATTAATCATGAATACAATGCATATCATATGAACTTTTATTTTATTCTATCAAATTACAAATAACAAGAATTAGCGAGAAAGACTTCTTTATTAATATTAAAAATGCAATGATACAATATTTTAAATCATCCAAACAGATTGAATATTAGACACCTACACTAATAGTTAATTAAATTAATTAATTATTAAAAAATTTAATTAGTTTTTAATTAAATGATTTAATTATTTAAAAATTTTAATTAGGTGTTAATTTAATTAATAAGTTGTTAATAAAGCTATTTAGTTGTTAAAATACATTAATTAGTTGTTACTTTTTTTTTAATGAAACAGGGGCGATACCTCGATAAGTTTTATTAATAGGAATAGAAATTAAGGGATACAAGGAAGGAACAATCCGGCCAAGCTCATAAATTTGGGAGGACAATGAGGTCTAACCCGTGAAAGATAATAGGACTTGGTTGCTATATTAGCATAACCAAATTACACGCAAAGATAAAATTTTGAAAGATAACCTATTTACTTAATTTTCAAAGGTGATTATTACTCGTTGATAATTATATATACCCAATCTGTCATCCGATATGGCATTCATGCAAGAAGTAGGCAAATCTAAGAAGTTACGGATGATCTTTTGAGAGATGTGTTGATAAGCCCAATTTGCCGGTTGATCTGCTACCATATTGCCTTCCCTATTCGTGTGTCGAATGGTCATTTGGGGATGTATAAGATTTCTACATTCCCTTATTGTATATACCAACTCTCATGGGCATTCATGACTAGCATTAAGGCGACCTAGTATTAAAGCGAGAATCAACCTCTACTATATCCACTATAAGGTTAATTAGTTGTTACTTCAATTATTTAATTTTTAAAAAAATTTAATTAGATGTTAGTTTAACTAATTAGTTGTTAATTAAGTTATTCACATGCTAAATTAAGTTACTTAGTTGTTAATTAAATTATTCAATTTTTTTTAAAAAAATTAATTAGGTATTAGTTTAACTAATTAGTTATTAATTAAATTATTTAATTGTTTAAAAAAATTATTTAGGTTTTAGTTTAATTGATTAGTTGTTAATTAAGTTATTTAGTTGTTAAAATAATTTAAGTTGTTAATTAAATTAATTAATTTTTTAAAATATTTAATTAGGTGTTAAATTTATTTAATTATTTGTTAATTAAGTTGTTTAGTTGTTAAAATAATTTAATTAGTTATTAATCAAATTAATTAATTTTTAAAAATTTAATTAGGTTCTAGTTTAATTAATAAGTTGTTAAGGGGGTGTTTGATAACCTATTTAAATAACTTAAAAAATTAAGTTAAGCTACTTAATATAAAAAGTTTGTTTGATAATCTAAATAATCTCATATTTAAAATTTAAATTCAGTCAAAATCTACTTAATTAGATAAGTTAAAAATTTTAACTTGAAACTTTTTTATTAACACGTTTAGTTGAAATAGTTAAATTTTTTTTATTTTTTTAAAATGATAATATAATCCTCATATATTTTAAAAGTTATAGATTCAATATGCTTACAAAGGAGATATGAAACAACTTTATTGATTCATGATGAAAATCTTTCTCTTTAAAAAAATATTATAAATTTACAAAAGGAATTCTATGATAAAAACTACTCTCTGTTCCCTCCCACGACCCACTCCTCGAGCACATACATCACCCTCTCCCTCTCTTCCATAGGCCTTATCATATCCATTAGCTCCTATAGACGAGAAGAGATAGAGCAAACAGAGAGAGATTTTCCAAGCACTCGCCAAATCATACCCTCTCTCCCACTATGATTTTACCTTTTTTTTTTACCCAATTCTTCCATTCATCAAATCCCCATAGAACTTCACGCTTTTAGTATTCACTCTCTCGGCATTATAATAAAAAACCCAATAATAGTTTGATTTCGATCGGATGTGTGTATGGTTTCTTGAATCTTTTTTCTTGCATTCTCTATCTAAGTGGAAACATGTATTTCTAAACTAGTGTTTTTTTTTTATTTCTGCTGTTGTCATATTCAATGAAAAATTGTATTTTATTTTTTATTAATAATTATTTTTTTAAAATTTTATTTATTTATATACATAAACACATTTATGTATATATTTTTATTCGTGTTAAAAAATATCAAGTTATAATTACAAGGTTAAAATTTTCATGTATATATCATTCATATATTTAGCAACAATACTCATCAAACACCCTCATTATATTCATCACTTAATTTTTAGTAAATACCAAACTGACTTGTGATTAACATATTCAGTACTTAATTATTCGGGACTTGAAATTCAATACTTAATAGATTCAGCACTTAATTTTCAGTTTTATCAAACACCACCTAATCTATTTAGTTGTTAAAATAAGTTAATTAATTGTTAACTAAATTTAAAAAAATTAATTAATTAGGTGTTAGTTTAACCGATTAGTTGTTACTTAAGTTATTTAATTGCTAAATTAAGTTAATTAGTTGTTAATTAAATTATTCATTTTTTTAAAAAAATTAATTAAGTATTAGTTTAATTAATTAGTTGTTAATTAAGTTATTTAGATGTTAAATTAAGTTAATTAGTTATTAATTAAATTATTTAATTGTTTAAAAAATTAATTAGGTGTTAGTTTAATTAATTAGTTGTTAATTAAGTTATTT